ATTGTGCCACTTCTCCCCCATTCAGAATTTGACTGTATCAGAGAAGAGGTACAGTAGGCCTATGTCTAAAGAAATCTCATTTGCAATAGAACTGTACCAGATATTACCATACAACTACTGGTTAGTGTTCAATAGCACCCTAGACAATTCAGTAATGGTATATTTTTTAGGGATTTCGGTTTTTTCTGATAAATGAGAGAAAAGTGAGTCCTATGTTCCTATCACCAACAAGTACAATTTCCGTCTAAACTAAAGCTAAGTTTACAGGACTATAATTCAGTATTTTTTTAAGTTAAATAATTGTCTGACTATTTAGTGAAGTGGGACAGTCACCTGGTTCATACCTCAGCAAATCTAAAGAGGATAAGAGAGTGTTAAGAATGTCACGAGGCTCAGGACCCAAATGCACAACACCAGAAACAGATTAGAATTAACAAGGTCTTTTAATTAAGGTCAAATACAAAACGCTCACTTGGAGGATCAAAAAACTCTAAACCAAAAACATCTACATGACTATCAAAAATATACTTCACACGATCAAGGGATGACTGGCAGGCTTGACGAGACAAGACGAACTGACACAAGACAAAGGGAGACGCAGACTATATATACACACTAGGTAAGGGGACACAGGTGGCAACAATTAAGGGAGGGGCTGACAATCACACTGGTGGGAAAAACACACCAGGGCAGGAATGCTCTGAAACGAGAGGGAAAGGTTACTACAAAATAAAACAGGAAATCACAAGACAAGGCAAAAGACAAAAGGACTGAACTAAATAAATTAACTTAACACAACTGTCTAGACACCACAGTACCCCCTCCTTTACGGACGGCTCCGGACGGCCCAGCGAGTTCAGGATGGCTTTTGTAAAAATCCTTTATCAGGTTCTGGTCCACGATGAAGCTAGACGGGATCCATTCCCGCTCTTCCGGTCCATAACCCTCCCAGTCCACTAAAAACTGCTGACCCCTTCCTCGTTTTCTGACCTTCAGCAGACGCTTGACAGTGTAGACCAGACCTCCATCAATGAGCCTGGGAGGAGGGGGGGGGCTTGGAAGCGGGAACCATTTTGCTTTCCTTGACCGGCTTGAGTTTGCTTACGTGGAATGTTGGATGGACTCTGAGTGATCTAGGCAGGCGCAAACGAACAGACACAGGGTTAATACACTTTTCCACAGTGAATGGGCCTACAAATCTTGGTGCCAGCTTCCTAGAGACTACGTTCAGGGGCAAGTCTCTGGTGGATAGCCACACTTTCTGACCCGGTCTGTACACAGGTGCAGGACGGCGATGCCGATCAGCCGCTTTTTTCATGCGGGCCGAAGTCCTAAGGAGGACCCGACGTGCTGAAGCCCAAATGCCATGACAGCGCCTGACCAGTGCGTGTGCCGAGGGAACCATGACTTCTTTCTCTGTCTCTGAGAACATTCTGTGTTAAGGTTTTCTTACCTAATTTTACTTGGATAGGAGTCAGCGTACGAGGAGAGTAGTCAGAAGTTAGTCGGCACACCAGCGCCCTCCTCTTGCCTGGGGAGCCCCGTCTTTTAGTGAGCAAGCGGCCATCAGGTGTCCACGATGCCCGCAGTAGAAAACACAGGCCCTGGCGGAGGCGCCGTTCCCGCTCCTCCAGTGAAAGTCTTGCTCGGCCAAGTTGCATGGGTTCCTCTGATGTGGTGGATGGCGTTGTCAAAGGAGGCTTGATCCAGACCCCTGGAAACGAATCCTCCCTCATCCGGATGCCACGAGGAGGCCCCCTGGAGCTTGGTGAACGAACTGCAGGATGTTCTCTTTCTTTTTGTCTATCCCAGAGCCTATTATCTATTCGTATAGCCAGAGCAATCACAGAGTCTAAATCTTCTGGAAGATCTAATGGGACTAAGTGATCTTTGACAAGGCCTGAAAGTCCATTTACAAAGGCGTCCAGCAAGGCCAGATCATTCCAGCCACTGTCTGCTGCTATTGTCCTAAACTCTATGGCATAATCAGACACTCTTTGATTTCTTTGCTTGAGTTGAACTAGAGCTTTAGCCGCTTCTCTCCCTGGCGCTGTACGATCAAAAATCTTTTTAAGGGAATCAGTAAACAGTCCGAGTGATCTGCAAAGGGGAGAGTCTCTAGCCCATTCTGCTGTAGCCCACGCTGCTGCTCTACCAGTCAAGTGTGTTATCATGAAAGCTATTCTAGACTGGTCTGTTGGAAAAGCAGAAGGCTGATGTTGATAATGCAGGTCGCATTGGACTAAAAAAGGACGACAGTCACCTGAGTCACCGGAGAATTTCTCTGGAGATGCGAGACGAGAGCATGAAGAAGAAGTAGGTCCTTGGATCACAGCCTCAGGCAGGGGTGCAGCCGCGGAAACAGTTTGAGATCCAGCTTCCAGGTGGGCAAGGACACGAACAAGCTGATCTGCCAGGTGGTTTACTTGGCTGTTCACAGATGTTTGGAAGCTTTCTTGACGACCACTCAATTCTCTCACTCCCTGGTCAATTGATTTCAGCTGATCGTCATGCCGAGACAAAAGCGTGCCTTGTGAGCGCAGAGCTGCTCTGAACCTGTCTGGGTCGGCTGGGTCCATTCTTTGGTCAGTTCGTACTGTTAAGAATGTCACGAGGCTCAGGACCCAAATGCACAACACCAGAAACAGATTAGAATTAACAAGGTCTTTTAATTAAGGTCAAATACAAAACGCTCACTTGGAGGATCAAAAAACTCTAAACCAAAAACATCTACATGACTATCAAAAATATACTTCACACGATCAAGGGATGACTGGCAGGCTTGACGAGACAAGACGAACTGACACAAGACAAAGGGAGACGCAGACTATATATACACACTAGGTAAGGGGACACAGGTGGCAACAATTAAGGGAGGGGCTGACAATCACACTGGTGGGAAAAACACACCAGGGCAGGAATGCTCTGAAACGAGAGGGAAAGGTTACTACAAAATAAAACAGGAAATCACAAGACAAGGCAAAAGACAAAAGGACTGAACTAAATAAATTAACTTAACACAACTGTCTAGACACCACAGTACCCCCTCCTTTACGGACGGCTCCGGACGGCCCCAGCGAGTTCAGGATGGCTTTTGTAAAAATCCTTTATCAGGTTCTGGTCCACGATGAAGCTAGACGGGATCCATTCCCGCTCTTCCGGTCCATAACCCTCCCAGTCCACTAAAAACTGCTGACCCCTTCCTCGTTTTCTGACCTTCAGCAGACGCTTGACAGTGTAGACCAGACCTCCATCAATGAGCCTGGGAGGAGGGGGGGGCTTGGAAGCGGGAACCATTTTGCTTTCCTTGACCGGCTTGAGTTTGCTTACGTGGAATGTTGGATGGACTCTGAGTGATCTAGGCAGGCGCAAACGAACAGACACAGGGTTAATACACTTTTCCACAGTGAATGGGCCTACAAATCTTGGTGCCAGCTTCCTAGAGACTACGTTCAGGGGCAAGTCTCTGGTGGATAGCCACACTTTCTGACCCGGTCTGTACACAGGTGCAGGACGGCGATGCCGATCAGCCGCTTTTTTCATGCGGGCCGAAGTCCTAAGGAGGACCCGACGTGCTGAAGCCCAAATGCCATGACAGCGCCTGACCAGTGCGTGTGCCGAGGGAACCATGACTTCTTTCTCTGTCTCTGAGAACATTCTGTGTTAAGGTTTTCTTACCTAATTTTACTTGGATAGGAGTCAGCGTACGAGGAGAGTAGTCAGAAGTTAGTCGGCACACCAGCGCCCTCCTCTTGCCTGGGGGAGCCCCGTCTTTTAGTGAGCAAGCGGCCATCAGGTGTCCACGATGCCCGCAGTAGAAACACAGGCCCTGGCGGAGGCGCCGTTCCCGCTCCTCCAGTGAAAGTCTTGCTCGGCCAAGTTGCATGGGTTCCTCTGATGTGGTGGATGGCGTTGTCAAAGGAGGCTTGATCCAGACCCCTGGAAACGAATCCTCCCTCATCCGGATGCCACGAGGAGGCCCCCTGGAGCTTGGTGAACGAACTGCAGGATGTTCTCTTTCTTTTTGTCTATCCCAGAGCCTATTATCTATTCGTATAGCCAGAGCAATCACAGAGTCTAAATCTTCTGGAAGATCTAATGGGACTAAGTGATCTTTGACAAGGCCTGAAAGTCCATTTACAAAGGCGTCCAGCAAGGCCAGATCATTCCAGCCACTGTCTGCTGCTATTGTCCTAAACTCTATGGCATAATCAGACACTCTTTGATTTCTTTGCTTGAGTTGAACTAGAGCTTTAGCCGCTTCTCTCCCTGGCGCTGTACGATCAAAAATCTTTTTAAGGGAATCAGTAAACAGTCCGAGTGATCTGCAAAGGGGAGAGTCTCTAGCCCATTCTGCTGTAGCCCACGCTGCTGCTCTACCAGTCAAGTGTGTTATCATGAAAGCTATTCTAGACTGGTCTGTTGGAAAAGCAGAAGGCTGATGTTGATAATGCAGGTCGCATTGGACTAAAAAAGGACGACAGTCACCTGAGTCACCGGAGAATTTCTCTGGAGATGCGAGACGAGAGCATGAAGAAGAAGTAGGGTCCTTGGATCACAGCCTCAGGCAGGGGTGCAGCCGCGGAAACAGTTTTGAGATCCAGCTTCCAGGTGGGCAAGGACACGAACAAGCTGATCTGCCAGGTGGTTTACTTGGCTGTTCACAGATGTTTGGAAGCTTTCTTGACGACCACTCAATTCTCTCACTCCCTGGTCAATTGATTTCAGCTGATCGTCATGCCGAGACAAAAGCGTGCCTTGTGAGCGCAGAGCTGCTCTGAACCTGTCTGGGTCGGCTGGGTCCATTCTTTGGTCAGTTCGTACTGTTAAGAATGTCACGAGGCTCAGGACCCAAATGCACAACACCAGAAACAGATTAGAATTAACAAGGTCTTTTAATTAAGGTCAAATACAAAACGCTCACTTGGAGGATCAAAAAACTCTAAACCAAAAAACATCTACATGACTATCAAAATATACTTCACACGATCAAGGGATGACTGGCAGGCTTGACGAGACAAGACGAACTGACACAAGACAAAGGGAGACGCAGACTATATATACACACTAGGTAAGGGGACACAGGTGGCAACAATTAAGGGAGGGGCTGACAATCACACTGGTGGGAAAAACACACCAGGGCAGGAATGCTCTGAAACGAGAGGGAAAGGTTACTACAAAATAAAACAGGAAATCACAAGACAAGGCAAAAGACAAAAGGACTGAACTAAATAAATTAACTTAACACAACTGTCTAGACACCACAGAGAGGTCACTCTCAAGTTATGGGCTTTTTTGTCACCTTTCCCATATTCGGCCCTGGTCTAATTTGGCTCTTTTTCAGGGATTGTGGTAGTTCCAAATAACAACCCAAAAAAAAATGTTGCCCCCAAAATAAAATGTGACAACAATCAATTTAATTAATGGGAGACCCTAAAGATAAGAAAAATCATTGTTGTCATTTGTTCTACCTCGGGTAGGGGTATCTCGAAAACTAAAGCCTTTTTTGAGGACTTGCTGCTGGACTATTAGTAAGTCTCTGTATACAGTAAAGCATAATACTCTTGGCTTCCTTAAAGGTCCCCTATTATACTGTTTTTCATCAATATATTATAAGTCTCAGATATATACAAAACATGTCTCTGAAGTGTTTGGCTCAAAAATACCAAACAGATCATTGCAGCATCCCATAATCCCCTCTGTTTCAGCCCTGTTTCCAAAGTGCTGATTCTCTGTCTGTTACTTTAGATGAAAATAAGGAGCCCCTCTCCACACCCCTCTGAGATAGATTTGGTTAAAAAGAACACAATGGTGCTCTAGGAGGAGATTCAGGTGATAAGGTGGGGGGGGGGGGGTTACCTTGGTTTGTTATTTGCTAATGGTTACACAAGCCAAAAAAAACGTTATGACATCATAAAGTGGCCAAAATCTGATCAGCTCATTTTCAGACAGGTTTTTATATACATGGATCAGGACAAAAACTGAGTGGAATCTTTTTTCCTGAAACTTTCAGAGTCTCTTTACACAGAGGGGACACATGTTTATGTATAAAAGACAGGAACAAGTGGATTTTGCACAATAGGTGACCTTTAAGAACTTTGTATTACATGCTATAGTGTGACTTTTTTGATGATATTTTCATGGCATACTATACTATGACCTCTTAAAAATGATTATTTTGATTACATTATACAATGACTTTTTGTACAATGACATTTTTATGGCATTTTCTTACAACTTCTTGACTAATATTTCTATGGGATACCACACTATGACTTTTCAATTTAATCACTTGTGATTGGCATGTTTTACTATGACATTGTATTGCATTCAATACTTTAACTTTGGAATCAGTTTTTTAAATGAAGAAATAGGATGCTCTGACTTTTGATATTACATTATAATATGCTATACTCAGACAGAAACAATAAACATTACAACATCAGGAAACGTTCTACAGAAATGCTTGAATTAGACCATAGTCCCTTAGTAAAATGGTCAAGAAAATGTGTCTATCGTCTACATATATTGTCAGGACCTCGTCACAAGCTGATGAACCCAAACACACGACCCAGAGACAAAGTCTTGAATATAAAGAAGGTATATTTATTTTCCACAGTGCAGGTAATCCCTCTTAACAGAGTAGGTGGTGGAAATAACAAAAGGCGCCCACACGGAGGAAATTGCATAACAAAAAGAGGACTTAATCAAAACTTAAGCCAACAAAAAATAAACAAAATAACCTGACATGAGGGAAAAAGCGATCCTTTCAGAGCTGAGGCTTGGCACGACCATTCGGGGAAACAAACAAGACGAACTGACAAAAGGCTATCCACTGCGCCACACGCCTCCCTATTTTCCTCACAGACGGCAAAAAAAGTCAGACATTTTGCGATTTAAAATAAAAACAATAATTCACTCCTGTTTTACTGTACATCTCAGAGTCTCAGAATGCTTCCTTGTGTTCGTTCACTTGTGTATATCATTTTAATGATTAAATATTAGTTACCTGCAGGGCCGTCCCTGGCCAACTTGAGGCCCATGCAAAGTTATATGATGAGGCCCTCTGTTTCGCGAGCGTCGATGGGAGGGGTGCTAGTGGAGCCTCGCAGCGGCGAAACCGTGCCGCGCCACACTAATTGCGTCGCATGCGCACATAGGTGCAGCTCAGTTGAGGCTCCCTCCGCAAGGTGAGGCCCCACGCAGTCTGCGTGATCTGCCTGTGAGGGACGGCCCTGGTTAACTGTAAAAAACATTTTGCTGCTGTTTTTGATGTATTTGTCCTTCTTTTAAAGCACTTCCAGTGTAGCCGCAGTCATATCCGACAAAAATAAATCCAACTTCTACTGCTGTGACATTTCTTTTTTTATGACAATATTATAATGTTATTTAAACTGTCTTTTAAATTGTGCATTGTAATAGTCAGGGTCTTCTTGAATACCAATACATTAAAAATGTCAGCAAACCTATGTGAAAAATCAATCTGAGTTGAAAACTGAAGTGGTACATTGTCATTTGAGCTTACTTACCCTGTAAAGTAATATACAGGAAACTACTTTAAATAGTTGAGTCTCACAGTCATTGTGTGAGAGTTTGCAGCCCTGCAAATACATATTTTCTGTACAAAGTTACTTGTGCCAGTAATAGTATGTCGTTTTTTTCATTTAACATGGTAAAGCCTGATTGAGAATAAAAATGTCCTTTAAAGACTAAGTGTCGGAAAAAGGAAATAGTAGCCAACACCCTGTTCCCGTTTCTTTCCTGGGTGAAGTACTTGACCTTGAAATCCCTGTTGGTTACAGATTAGCACAGTGCACATTTCAAAACACTATCATTTGTGTAAGAGTCGAAAAAAAGTGTGTAATGACAAACTGTTTTGCGAAGCCCGTCTCAGGGTTATGAAAGTGATATATTTATTGACAAATGAAACTCTCCTCGACAGGGAATTTATTAACAAACACTCCCTGACAAGCCTGACAAGTCTTGACTTGTCAGGGAATGCCAGGGTCAGGGAAGGCCAAGACTTAATGCCAAACCTCACTACAAATTGTCATGAAGGAAACATGCAGGAGTCCAATGTTTTGCTTGATGATATGAGTAAATAGGTTAAATCTGGAGCCATAAGCGTAAAGCAGAGAAAGTATCACCAAGCCACAGCTGCACAAAAAAACTCTCATGCTCTTGAAACTTAATCTCTATAATGGGAATTGAAGCGCTTGTATATTTGGGAGGTCTCCCTTGTCAGTACATATGTAGCGATGTACATAATAAGGACCATGATGGAAACCAGGACTGTGGCCAAGATGTTGAGGCAGCGGGCGTTGGAGCCGTAGCGCCGGGCTCCTTCCATATCTCCAATCACCTTCCGGTCTCTGGCCTGAAAGGACCAAAAGCACATTGATTTGAAATTGGATTCTTAGCTTTACTTAACCTCAGAGAACCTTAAATGTTGAACATCAGCTCAGTCCAATGCTTTAGATTCATGTTTTGCTATATGTTCATGCTTTCAACGGGATAACATCCCTACATAGTTCTCTTTGCATAATTTATATTTTTTGTCTGTCAAAAATGTCACTAATAGATAGTTTGAAACACATTTAAAGTGTCTGTCGTGTTCTTATTTAAATTATTTATCTTTCCTCATTCAAGTTCAATTGTAAATTTTGGGAACAAATATCTATAATCTTTGAGATTACGATTCCTTTTCCCCCAGCTGCCTGTCCTCTGAGTGAGGGATGTTTCTTTTTTGTCTGCAAAAACTTGCAATACACCTTTGTAATCTCTCCTTTGTTAGAGCTGTCAGTTGTGATAATGTTAAACTCTTTTTTTACTATTCTTTGCCATAACAGAATATTTCCCATGAATGAAACTCACCTTGATGGAGTAGATGAGAGCCGCCAGTCCCAGGCAGCAGCAGCTGCAGCAGCATGGAAGAAAGAGAAATCACAAATTAACATTTCATCAAATCTAAACATCTATACATGGATGGATTGCTACCCTACATTGGATTAGACCTCACAGCGAGAGTGTTTACCTTCTTGTTCTCGGCGTTATACTTGTTGAGAAGGCTCTGAACGCGGTTGCAGTGGCGGTTCTACGGGGTGGCACGGGGTGGCAGCTGCCACCTCAGAAAAAGGCCTTGCCATCCCAGCTGCCACCCCATTTGGCAGCTTTGTTTTGAAAGAAAAGTTGTGGCTTATCGGACATTTAAGGGAGAAAATCTCTGTCCGAGTGCAAGTGAATGCAGCACAAGAGGCGAGCCTTGTAACCCCTCCCCCGGCCCTGGCGCGAGCGTGGAAATATGATTGGCGGCGATTTCATTTGAACGGGGGACAGCTCAAAACGAGAAGCATTTTGGATCCAAGTAGACGGAAGGAATGAGGTATTTGCGGTCAGGTATGGCTGGGGTAGGCTACAGCCATACCAAGAAATGGCTTAGCCCCACCTTAGCCCCACTATGAAAAATGATGTTAAAGTAAGCAAAATAAAGTCCGCCAACTCGCGCGGAGTAAATTGCACAGACAGCAGTTAGTAAGATTGATTTCAGTAGCCACTTGTCTGGAAATACCGAAGACTAGAAACGGTTTTGAAAACTTTTGTCACGTAGTGATCGTCTTCTCAATAGAAAATCTTTGATAATGTCTTCTGGCCAATCAGAATCAAGATAACGGCGTGGTGTTGTTGCAGGAAGTCCCGACGCAGAATAATTTTTGCTGTAGTACATCTCTATATACATCGATACAACATTACGTGTCGATAGAAATCAACACGTAATGAAATAAGACCCCACGGTTTGATGATTGATAGGTGTGTGGGCTGTCTTTCATTTTGACACACAGAACAATGGGGGCTATCCACCCTTATCCACAATGTAAAGTAATTCACAGCCTCTTCCCTCTTCTCTCTTGCGGCTTTCACACCAGCGCTTTTCCCTTTCTAGCTCCGAGCTAGAGCTTTTCTGGTTCAGCTCCGGTTTCCCTTTTCTGCTCCCTCTCTGTTCACACCGCCCAGCACCCGACTGGTGCTGCTGCGTCATGACGTCACCGTTTACATCGCTGATTTGCTCCCCAACGGTGTTACGGCGCTCACAACAACAACGGGGAACTGCGTCGGGTCGATGATCGTGTTGCTTTTAATCACACGAAGCCAGAATAAATTGAATAACGACTTCTCCAACCTTATACTTTGCTCCAGAGTGCCGTGGTTCATTGTTTATTAATGTGTTTCTGCAGCATTTACCGACCGCTGCAGTGTTGGCTGCT